AAAAAAAAAAAAAAATTTACCGTTTATTCTTTATATGCTTTTCGACACGTTTTTATAATTTTTTTTGTTATTTTAATATCTAAAATAAAAATATTATTATTTAAACTTTACACACTTTTTTACCTACATGTCGATGATTGAACTTTTAAACGTATTTGAAAGCTCGTAAATACCACCCAGATATATGTATTTCGTAGCTATTTTTCGTTTTACGTAAAAAAAAGTTGACGTTTTGACTGCCGATTTTGTAAAAACTGCAAAATTTCGTTTTTGTATATATGATAACAAGGTAAAACATAAATTAAATCAAGAATAACTTGTTTATTTAACTTTGTAAATATTATAGAATAATAATACAAGAATTTATTTGATTTAATTATTATTTATTAATACGATAATTCCACCAACCATATACCCTTTTCTTATCCCATTCAGCTCCAAGTAATTGAAGCGTCTCATCATATATATGGCTTGGAATCTTTTCATAAGCCAACAGACGTTCCAGTATTTGCTCTTCATGCGCAAGTACTTTTCTTCGTCTTTTGGAAGTCTGGTTATTATTGTCATTAATATGTAGCTAAAGTGGCAGATGTGTAGGAGAATTAGGCATGATTTAAGTCCACACAAAATTTTGCGCATACAGCATACCTCCAGTTGATCATTATTTAGAGGTATTTTGTCACGCCTTTGTGTCTCCCTTTCAATTCTCTTTGCTTCCCTTTCATTTCTCTTTGTTTCAGCATAGTCTTTGTACTTTGTTCGGCGAACTTCTAATGCGCGTCTTCCCTGTGCGTTTCGAGGTTCACTTTTTATCACATCTTGTTTGTAAATTATCTGCATTCGTTCCAAGCCATTTTCATAACATGCAAGTAATTTTTCATATCCTGTTTTGTGTATTTCAGGTGGCTTGAGATCTTTAAAAATCTGATGTGACAATGGATCTGTCATGTCAAAAATCATAACTAAGTCTTCTACTAATTCCCATAAGGCCTTTCTTCTGGAATTGATGGCACGTTCACTCTGAGAAATTGAAGTGTCCTCGAGATATTCGCTTAGGAGTAGGTCAACTCTCTCTCTTTCTGATTGAGCTGCTTTAATATTTGCTTTTAATTTCATTTCATCAATAATATTTCCACTAATATTTTGTTTTATAAAATGAACTCCAAAGGTCTCAAGCGCTTCATCAAAACCAAAACAAACAGGCTTTTGATTTTCACTTCCATCATCATCAATGTTCTTTGGTATCCTAAATGCTCCAACGTGTTGCAAAATTTCATTCAATTTTGGATACTTAGTTAGTGTAGAGAGATGTTGAGCGATAGCTACTGCGTAATTTGATTTACCCGCACTTGGAAAAAGAGGTTATGCTGCAGCAAGAGCATCTCGTTGCAAATTATGATTTCCAATTCTCATTCCTATTTGGTTTGCTTTCCATATTCCAGCCCACTGATAATAAAGATACCAAATTTTTAGAAAAATATTGGTGTCAGTATTTTCGTTCATTATTTCAGACAAATTAATATTTTTTCTCTTTGTAAATATATTAATTGAAACTCCAACTGCCACCCACAAAAAGTCTAAGACTCTAGATGTCTTTCGATAATCAACTGCTGCCTCAAACTTGTCCATAAATTGAACACCTAATCTTCTTGCTAAATTTAGTAGTCCGTAACTAGAGATCAACACAATTAGAACTTAACAGAAGTCTTTGGAGGTGTGCCATTGTCCTAGCAATGGTCTCAATTGAGGCCATTGCTCTTGGCATCTAACTAACCGACTATAAATAGCTTCATCAGCAACTATATCAAGGTATGCAGTTTCTTGCAAATTAAAATCGGCTTTGTACATAGTGGCAGCTCCTAAAATTGCTTGGTCTGAATTTGGATTATCCCCTGGTTCAAGAATTACAACGTGGGGAGAAGGACCTTTACAGCCATGTTCAAATTTCTCTAGTATAGCTTTTTTAATTATTTCCTCATCAAAATTTTGATTGTATTCTAAATTGCCTTCATTTGTACTTCGAAAATCTAGCAAATTTTCTAATATACTTTGAAATCCATCCAGAGCTTCTTGCTTAGTAAAATTCATACCAAATATACGATTGTCTTCTTCCAAGGTAATTAATTCTTCTTGACACGTTGCCAGATAATTAGGAATTACTGATTGGAATGCCATTCTTAAGGTTGCATGTGAGCTGTTTCTTGTAGTGTCATATATATTTCCAAAGGAGAATGTTTTTTGTTTGAAATCTATGTTATCTATGACTGCAAGATTCCATATATCTAATTTTTGGTATAATCTTTGTGTAGGAACAGCATTATTAATTCGCTCTTTTTCTAGATTTCTTTCATGATGTTCGCTATGTCCTACTATATTCCATAATGACAGTAGACGATGAAGTGATGATAATAATTTTGGTTTGCGTGCCAGACTGCTTAGCACATTAGTTAACCAAATATTACATGAAGGAAATGCTATACCAGTGAGAACAGAAACAAAAAATGTAACTATTTTCATAATTATATTTTCAGGCAAAGTTTTAATGGCTTTTCCTCTTTGTTTTCTTTTTCTATTATTAACAGCTAGTTTTCGTTTATAGATCTCTATTAACATTCCCCCTAAAAACTCTGTGATGAAATTTGGAAATGCATGATAATATTCAAAAAGTGATCCTGGTGAGCTCAGTAATTCTTTTTTCTCATTTGTTGCTTCACGTGATTTCCAGAGCTTAATTCTGAATTTTCGTCCCAAACTTTCACAATTAATTGTTTCTATATCAACATCTTGTAATTTATTTTTTGAAAATGTATCAAGAAAAAGAATTTGTATGACGAAAAGGCTAAGAGTTTCGTCAGATTTTGTCAATGAAGATGTAGCTTTAGTTAAAGGTGTAGGGAGAAAAGGGAGAATAGCTTCTACAATAGAATTCAAAATTTCTTTTTTTTTTGAATCTTCATCTGTATGTGAAATCTTAATAAGCCAATTTGCAATAAAATTGATTCCTTTTGTGACATCTTGTTCATGTAATCTATCACAGTTTGATTTTTTACCTTGACCTGTACGTTTGTGAATATGCCCGCCCAATCGTTCATAACAACTGCAACAGATACATCTTGGTTTATTTATTTTTAAAGATTGTTCTGACAGGAAAGTTTCCTTCAATGCATTACAATATACCAATCCATTGCAGGGTACTTGAACATTTCGTCCATTAACCAACCAGGAATGGTTACTGCATCCTTCCCCCTCGGCTATAGAAAGTTATATATTGTTTGCATCCTATACATCTTCGATGTTGAATTATAGCATCTGAAGTCGTAAATTCTTTTGATATTTTATCTTTAGGATTGTGAATTTGATTTTGATCATATAAAAAATGTGAATCACAAACTCCTAAATAATTATTGTTGACTTGTTGAACTGCATCTCGATCTATTTGCCATGTTCCATATAAATTTCGTATCTTTCTAAGCTTGTAAGTTTCGCCACATCGTTTAATCGTACCTTGAATATTATCAATTATTACACAAGGTGTTATTGACGAAACAGATTGTACATTGGATTGTTTGCAAGTGGGTCCTCCATCTATATCATTTGGATTTATTTCATTCCTTTCTCCTTCATATTTATTGTTGGTGTTTTGTTCATCATCACTATTATTGTTTTGTTCTAATAACTCTGCCTCAATTTCACTATCATATTTACCCGCATATGATTCTATTTCACTATCTTCTTCATTTTCATGAGCTAACATTTCATTTAACGCATTGCTAAACCTAAAGGAAAGCTGGTCAAAACTATCCACCTCAAAAAATTCTCCAAATATTTCGTTTTCACCATCCCTTCCAACATTTTTCAATTCAAATTCTCGTGGTAACATAGAATTATTGTCAATTTCAAAGTTCAACATTGTAAAATATTATAAATTTATTAACTTCGCGTTAAAATGGCACCAAAGAGATAAAAACTTTAATTTATTTTTATTTATTTACTATACGAATAAACAAATAATGAAAAGAAGAAAAGATTGAACAGAATAAAATTTAAAAATATAAAAAAGTTCTTACGAACTTGTAAATAACTGTTTACATTGTATAAACATGTCCTTTTTCGTAAAAATATAAAAGTTTTATTTATTTACTATATAAACAAACAAAAATGAGTAACTTTCTTTGGACAGATTGAACTGAATAAACTTAATTTTTGAATTTTTAAAATATATAAAAATATTTTTAAGACCCTAACGAACATGCTAATAATTATTTATAATAGTGTTACATTGTACAAATGTGATGTTACCCAAACTTAAAATTTTCGATTTTAACTAAATTTATGCCGGCATTATAAATTTGTGAAACTTTCGGCCAGCGTTACAAAAATTCTGGCCAGCATTATGTTTTAAAGATCGTCAATTTTTAACTAATTGAACTAATTCTAGCCAATAAAATTTTACATACGTAATATACACCTAAAGACAATGTTACGCTAAAAATTTTTATTATGATATCATAGTACAAAAAAACTCCTTATCGATTGTGTGACATTTCCACTGACTGTTATATACTTTTCAAAATACCTTATTTCTCTCTCTAATAAATTGGTTTATATATTGTCTTGCTTTTTCTAATGCTATTGACTATTGTTCATTAAATTGATTTAAATTTGAAATAAAAGGCCATATATATACATTTTATTTTGCAAAAATTTCTATAATTCAGGTTGATTTTATTTATTAAATATTATTTTAAAAAAATAAATATTAATATCAATATAATTTTAAGTATTTTTTTTTTAGCTAATTTTAAGATATCTTGTTTAAATTTCTTCAAAATTTTATAATTAGTTTTGCTAAATTTTACTATAGTTTTAACAAAATTTCACTACTTTAGCATTTTGTCAACTTGCTAAAACTCTTTAGTTTTTTTAGTAATTTTAGTTAATTTTCATATATTTATTTTTTATATACTATTTTATTTAAAATTAAGAATTTTTATTAACTATTTGTTATTTATATGATAAATTAGAAATTCAAAATATTATTGTTAAATACAGAATTTTGGTATCATATTAAATAAAAAATTATTCATATTATAATTTAATAAATCTTAAAAATAAAAAATAATAAATTATTACTATGAAAGAAAATAATAGAACTCTTTCTAACGATCATATAGACTATTTTTTTCTAAGAAAATATCAGCAACTTTTTTGTTAAAAATGGCTTCCAGCAATAACAACTGACCTCAAGTTGACTATTTAAAGGTTTAAACAACTTATTAACAACCTCAAAGATGGTTCTTTTCTTGATTTTTTAAAGGTTAGCCTAAGAGAATATATCGCTGACAACATAAGTGAAAGACACATAGTAGATACCATTAAATATACTGCTAGCAATGATTTAACCTCTTATGAAACTCTCTTATCTGAATTTCAAGATGTTTTCAATACCTTTAGAGTGAAAAACCTCATCAAACTTTACCACTTCCTCTTTATTGTACTTACGTACTCTCAACATTTTCAACTTTTGCTTCATCAAGGGGTTGACAAAATTTGAAAGGAAAATTTGATGATGTCATCATAACAATTCAATTACGTGTCCAGTTCTACAGATAATACCTTGATGAATATGAAAATTTATGCATAGCCTGAATCCTAATCATAATTACAGAAGGACCCTGGAAAATACTTATATAGGTAAGATCCCAAAAATATTTTTTATTAGTAGCTCTAAGCATAGGTTTTTACTATAATCGCTAAGCATTGTTGATATCTAACCTTAAAAATTATATAAAAATAAGCAAATCAATCTTCTAATCTAATTAAATTTTTATTATAACACATATAATTTATAAAATATATTTATTAATTAATATATTTTATTAAATCCAATTTTAAATATGTTGTGAAGCTAAACTAAACATAATATACAAGTAGATTAACAATATTCAATTAATAAAGTTAATAAACAGTAAAAGAAAAATTCAAAATTAATACTATTATAAAAAATGTAAATTTCTCTATAACTCCATAAGTATTATACTTATACCCATAAAAATTAATATGTAGGTAGTTTCGACCTTGCTGAACAATTTCAATTAATTTAGAAAGTCGATTTCATTTGACCAAAGAGGTGTAATTACGATCTGAAGTTGTAAACGGAGAAATAAAAAACTCAGAAGTTAGTACCGTTATGAAAAATGCACTTTTCTCCATAAGTATTATACCCACACTCATGAAAATTAATATATAAGTAGTTTCGACCTTGCTGAACAACTTTCAATTAATTTAGAAAGTCGATTTC